TGAAAACAGAAAAAGTGAACTTTTGTTAAGAGAATGCTGTATTTAAGGCTACACTTATTTTCTCTGTTGTGTTATGATGAGCTGTATTGTTTCTAAAAGTTAACAAAAATTGAATGGTCTGCAAGTGAAAACAGTAAGTGGTATTTACAACAGCTTATCTACTGGAAGTGCAGAGAAGAGATCAAGGAAACTAAAGGACAATACTATAACATTTGAGATGTATTAACATCTGGCAGCATCACAACTTAATACTTCATTTAATTCATTGCTCTTTTGTGTAGAATGTATGCAAAGATGTCCTAATTATTACACCAATAAATGTCTAATACAGGTAGGTATTCCTTTAGTGACAATTGGGACCACCAAGTCCATTGTTAAATGGTTGCTAAGTGAAACTGTGACAGCTTATGGTCTTAATTCAGCTATCCTTTGCCTTACCAACTGAAAGCCATAAATGCAAGGATTGGTCATAAAGTTAATTTGTCATCACTGCTGTAACAGCAATCACTAAATGAGAACTACCTGTGATGAGAGCCAGTTTGGTGTAGTTGTTAAAGCACTAAGCTAGAAACAGACTAAATTCTGACACCACCTTTAGCTCAAAGCCAGTTGGGTGACCTAGGGCCAGTTATTCTTTCCCAGTCCTAGAAAAAGGCAATGGCAAACCACTTCTGAAAATCTTGCCAAGAAAAATGCAGCAACTACACACTCCAAAAAGCCACTTTGGTGTAGTGGAAAGGGCATCGGGCTAGAAACTAGAAGATTGAATTTTAGTCCTGCTTTAGGTACAAAGTCAACTGAAGAACTTCATGATCATTCAATCCTAGGAAAACGGCAATGGCTGACCACTTTTAAGATTGTTGTCCCCAAAATTGCATCCTAGTGGCATTCACCAAGAGGCTCCATCTCCACCCCAAAATCATAAATGTAAGTTCCACTAAATCAAGTGAATAGTGTTGCATATCACTGACCAGTCTTACTATACTTTACTATAAGGTGTTTAGAGATCAGGCTTAGCTAGTTAAATCAGGCCAACAGTTTTATGTAGATGAACATCATGCTCTGCAAAAAGATCACTACATTTAGCCAGATTTATTTTTTCCATAAAATGTAAGATGCATAAGGAATGAATGCCCATCTTTTTTTCTAATCTCAGAATAGTTTTCATATAATGCAGTTAAAGTACTGAGCTAGAAGCAGAGAAACCCAGATTTAACCACAGAAATTCACTGAATGAGTAAGCACATACATAATGAAGTCAGGCTATTTCACAAGACGGGTAGGAAAAAAGAATGCAATTACAGTACCCTTTTGTGCTTAAAAGATGGGATGTAAATCAGGGTGCTTCGCTAATCTGAAATGTTACCTTACTCTGAACAAAAACAACTTGCAGTCACGTATTTTTGAATCTATAAAGACCTGTATTCAGAAATTATGCAAACTTTATTCCCACACAAGTTAGAATGCCTGCAAATAGATATATCCAAAAATGGTATTTTTTAATGTGATCTGTGATGGAACTTAGCTACAAAACCTAATGAGTCTTATTTTACAGACAGGCTTTGTATTTTGTTCAATGTCTTTAAAACAAATTACAGCCATGTATATTTTCCATGTCAATCAACATTAAACTTGTTTTCTCCTCAAATCCTTTCATTTAAATGCTTCTTTTACCCCAGCCATTATAGATTTGGCATAATAGGTAATCTGATTATCAGGATATCTTGGATTTTCCAAGTGTCAAATTTTCATTATACAGATTTATCCTAAAAATCTGAACACATTCAAAGATATAGAGCACAAAGGCCTATGGGCTAAATACAGGTAGTACTTACAATAGTTCATTTTGTGACTGTTAACAACATTTCAGTTACAACGGCACTGAAAAAAGTTACTTGTGACCATTTTTCACATAGCCATTGCAGCATCCTCATGGTCATGTGATCAGAATTCAGACACTTTGCAACTGACTCACATTTATGACCATTGCAGTGTCCTGGGATCATGTGATCACCTGCAACCTTCTGACAAGATTTACTTAACAACCGTGTCACTAATTTAACAACTGCACTGATTCACTTAACAACTGGCAAGGTCATAGAATGGGGCAAAATTCACTTAACAAATGTCTTACTTAGCAACACAAATTTTCGGCTCAATTGTGGTCATAAGGTCATAAATACTATCTGTATTTAGGGTAATTCAGCAAATGAGGTATACAAAACTTCAATTGCTTATCTAAAATTATATAGTGTATTTATAGGACAGGCAACGTTCATTCTGGAGACTATTTCATAGTTCAAACATGCCAGTTAAAAGGTTTTGTTTCTTCTCACAAATGTTATTTTTTCAGCAATTACATGCCCTATTTACTCACCTCTAATGTACTTACGGAATGGTATTTATGTGGCTTTCAGAGTATAAATACTAGCAGTTCTACCCAGCATGCTAGATGTAGAAAGATACTTGGAATTATAATTTAATGCTACCCTCTTTTCCATATATTAAGCATTTTATAGAAATAGTAAAAATGGAAGCAACCTAAGCTGGTTAAATCAATGCCATTTTTTTAAAGTCAACATAAATTAATTAGGTTCAGCTGACAATGCTGGTTAAAGAATTTCCTAAATAAAAATCTAGCTTGAGTTTTCTCTTTATGAGAAAAACTGAACAGCATTTTAATGAGCTGTACAATACTTAGGTTATTTATAATACAGATGGTTCTATGACTTGTTCAGTGAGTTTTAACTTGTTGACAGCACTGAACGAGTGGAATTTTCAACTAATCAACGTTCCAGTCATTTTAGTATCTCAAAGTTGCGTGGCTGCCATCTGCAACCTTCTTTGCCAGTTTTCTACAAAGTCAATGAGAACCAGGAGATCACAAATGGCAGTAATGTCCTCACTTAATGACATGGGATTCTCTTAACAATGGCAACCAGGAAATGCTGGAACTGATGTGAATAAGTGATGTGGTCATGACATCACACTTTAAAATCACATTGCTTAAATGACAAAAAATCCAGTCCCAATTGCTGTTGTTAACCAAGTACTATCTGTATTTACTTATACTAGCTTAGCTATGGTTTAGTCAACCTCATTTTCACATGGCTTTCTGAACTATAAATCAACTGCACAGACTAGAATTGTACAATGTTAGGCTACATGTGGGTGACTAGGTTCAAGATTGGGTGTCCTGCAAATAAAAAATATTTTAAACAATATAACTGGTATCAAAAACCTTTCTTCATATCATATTATCTTTTCCTGCCAATATTATATATACAGTGAGGGAAAAAATTATTTGATCCCCTGCTGATTTTGTACATTTGCCCACTGACAAATGATCAGTCTATAATTTTAATGGTAGGTTTAACAATGAGACAGAACAACAACAAAAATCCAGAAAAACGCATTTCAAAAAAGTTTTAAATTGATTTGCATTTTAATGAGAGAAATAAGTATTTGATCCCCTATCAGCAAGATTTCTGGCTCCCAGGTGTCTTTTATACAGGTGCTGAGATTAGGAGTACTCTCTTAAAGGGAGTGGTCCTAATCTTGGCTTGCTATCTGTATATAAGACACCTATCCACATAAGCAATCAATCAGATTCCAAACTCTCCACCATGGCCAAGACCAAAGAGCTGTCCAAGGATGTCAGGGACAAGATTGTAGACCTACACAAGACTAGAATGGGCTACAAGACTATCACCAAGCAGCTTGGCGAGGTGACATTTGATGCGATTATTCGCAAATGGAAAAAACACAAAATAACTATCAATCTCTTTCAGTCTGGGGCTCCATGCAAAATCTCACCTCGTAGAGTTTCAATGATCATGAGAACGGTAAGGAATCAGCCCAGAACTACACGGGAGGATCTTGTCAATGATCTCAAGGCAGCTGGGACCATAGTCACCAAGAAAACAATTGGTAACACGCTATACTGTGAAGGACTTGCAGCATCCGCAAGGTCCCTCTCCTCAAGAAAGCACATGTACAGGCCCGTCTGAAGTTTGCCAATGAACATTTGAATGATTCAGAGAACTGGGTGAAAGTGTTGTGGTCAGATGAGACGAAAATTGAGCTATTTGGCATCAACTCAATTCGCTGTGTTTGGCGGAGGAGGAATGCTGCCTATGATTCCAAGAACACCATCCCCACTGGCAAACATGGAGGTGGAAACATTATGCTGCTAGGAGGACAGGACAACTTCACCGCATCAAAGGGGTGAATGGACAGGGACATGTACCATCAAATCTTGGGTGAGAACCTCCTTCCCTCAGCAATGGCACTGAATATGGGTCATGGATGGGTATTCCAGCACGGCAATGACCCAAAACATACAGCCAAGGCAATGAAAGAGTGCCTCAAAAAGAAGCACATTAAGGTCCTGGAGTGGCCTAGCCAGTCTCCAGACCTTAATCCCCTGGAAAATCTGTGGAGGGAGCTGAAGGTTCGAGCTGCCAAACGTCAGCCTCGAAACCTTAATGACTTGGAGAGGATCTGCAAAAAGGAGTGGGACAAAATCCCTCCTGAGATGTGTGCAAACCTGGTGGCCAACTACACGAAACATCTGACCAGCAAGGGTTTTGTCACCAAGTACTAAGTCATGTTTTGCGAAGGGATCAAATACTTATTTCACTCATTAAAATGCAAATCAATTTATAACTTTTTTGAAATGTGTTTTTCTGGATTTTTTGGTTGTTATTCTGTCTCTCACTGTTAAAATAAACTTACCATTAAAATTATAGACTGATCATTTGCCAGTGGGCAAATGTACAAAATCAGCAGGGGATCAAATAATTTTTTCCCCTCACTGTAAGGAAGGCCTACTTTGTTTTGCTTCAGCTCTGCCTTTTGTTCCTGGAAAGCTTTTTAAAAATTTATATGTCTCAAATTTGCATAAATATATTTGTAATTAATATAGAGAACCCCAATATTAGTTCTATCATGAATAACGCATACTGGTTTTTCTAAATAAAAACTTGGACTTGCTGTTATGAATTTTCAAATTTTAGTTTTAATAATGAAAGCTTCTGGGAATAGCAAATATTGACATTTTCTTCTTCGTGACCATGTTCCCAAAGCTTTTTTTTCTCACTTAGTGTAACTGTCCAGATTGCCCATAACCCAACAAATTGGGAATAAGCCGCCAGCAAAAATCACTGTGAATCCAATGGCATTTTCCTGTAAATTGAAAAAAACGTCTGTTAAGTATGTATCTGCAGCATACAAGAGATAATAGATGCTCGTTAGGGGAGAAATGTGACTCTTTAGTTGTTTCATTTCTAGTGTATATATGAAATCTTATGGGCTGCGTGCAAACTTCTATAAATTACTGTACATGTGATTAATTTATAATTCATATAGTAAATAACTTATGGCATATATAATATTCATTATAATCTTAATGATCCTCAGTTTTCTCAGTACAAATTCCTGTAGATTCCTTGAGGTAATTTTACAGAGAACAGCCTATAAATACTTTCAAATTAGGTTCCATCTATTATGTTACACTTATTTCTTGCAGCAAACAACACAACGGCAATATAAATCTCAGATGTATTACAGCCTATTTAAAATGTATACAGTTAGTACTTTACTGCAGGGAAATCTTGAACAACATGAAAAATAAGGCACTCATGTTTGCTGCAAATAATTAAAATTTAGTCTTGAAACAGAATAAGAATTCTTGACAATTAAGACTTTCCCCTCTTACCAGTTTCTTGTGAAATGAGAAAGATGGGATATATGATGAGAATGTAGAAAAGATTAAAACTAAAAAAAGCCACTATCTAGCCTCATAAAATTCTTTAGGAAACAAGCACAAGTGCATTTGGAAGAATTCCAAACTAAAAAACTCATAATGTTTTTTAAACAACTAGCTCAAACCACTTATCCTATTTTTGATAATTAATTATATCTATTATTGTTAGTTAAATACATGTACCCAGACACTATGCTGTTTGCTAAATATTGAAAATGTTACTTGGAAAAACTCCAACCCTAACCCAAATCCTAATCCTAATCCCACCCTATCCCTAAAAAAACTAATAAAATCTATATATAAAAAAAACCACGTATTCTATTCTTCATGGTCATTTCATCTGTTACATGGCAGCCTCTGGGGAAATACAGATTAGTACAACATTGGGCAAAGGGGAAAAGATATAATGCTTCAGATTGTAAAATGTTGGATATAAACACTGTCTTAAAGTGACAAGCAATTAACAGAGTTAACTGCTGAGAGCAAATCTCACATATTTAACGAAGTTTCAGGGGGAAAATAATGGTGTGTGTGTTTGTTTGAGGGGACAGTTAATCTCTCCTGCCTTCATATTGTGACCTCTGATTTTAGTAAGCAAAGCGAGCGCAAGAGTGCAGACACGATTTAAGGCAGTGTTTCTCAATCTTGTTCATTGAAGATGTGTGGACTTCAACTCCCAGAATTCCCCAACCATCATGGCTGGCTGGGGAATCCTGGGAGTTGAAATCCATACATCTTCAAATGGACAGGGTTGAGAAACACTGATTTAAGGCTTACATCTGTTGGGATTTTCATCAACCATCCATAAGACCTTCTGTACTTATATGTAACTACAGAGGCCGAGGTAAAGGTCGTCTGCCTAATATCATAGGCATTTCAACGACAATTTTTTCCTTTTAAAAAGGCATAAAGGCACGCGACCCTGTCCTTGGGAGCATTTCCTCTTCCACCACATATTTCAGTCCGTCCGGAAGAAGAGGTACAAAATATCATGGCCTCGCCGTAACAGAGTAATTAAAATAAAACCCTTTGACCCGTGTTCCTTTCGGACGTTCTCTATAGCACAAGTCTAGCCAGGGGACTGATTTCAGATCCGACTGAGCCCTTCAGAAACCCACTCTTAAAGGCGAGAGCCTGGCAATATTGACATTCATGAGTCATGGGGAGGAGGGGAGAAGCGGAGGGGGGGGGGGCTGGAAGCTTTAAAGAAAAATTAACTCTCACCAAGAAACTGTTTCCTGGCTTGTTGGACATCTTTGCCCTTGGGAGGATCTGGCTCCTCACGGTCCCGTTCAGCAACCGCAGCCCCTTCTGGAAAGCCAGCATTGCTGCGCCGGTGGCTACCTGTCACCCTCTGGGAGAGAAAACGCGTGAACGGCCTCGCCCTTGAACCCGCAACAGCGCCAACCGAAACCGCGCCTCGGCCTGTGTTGGGAAGGTCTGCGCAAGGTCGGTAGAGGGGGGGGGAGAGAGAGAGAGAGAGAGAGAGAGACTGCCGTAGGCTCGCCGAGAGCAGCGCCGCCCGCAGGTGCTTCCCTCGGAACGCGGCAGATGTGACGAAAGCGCACGCGCTGCGGAAGAGGAGCACTCGGAAGGGAGGGGTCGGGTTGAAGAGACGACGTAGAAGTGCGCAGGCGGGGTGGCGCTTTCGGAGGACTGGCAAATCCTCCAGCAGCACTTTCCCTAAAGGGATGGGGAAGTCGCAGGAGTTCCCACTAATGATGATTTGCCCTACAGTTTTGAGGGAAGCTCTCTAGACCAGTGTTTCTCAACCTTGACCATTTTTAAGGCATGTGGACTTCAACTCCCAGAATTCCACAGCCAGCATTGCTGGCTGTGGAATTCTGGGAGTTGAAGTCCACATGCCTTAAAATGGTCAAGGTTGAGAAACACTGAGCTAGATTTTCCTTTCCCTTCGCGTTCTACATTAGAATAGAATAGAGCTGGAAGGGCCTTGGAGGTCTTCTAGTCCAGCCCCCTGCTCAAGCAGGAGACTCTACCATTTCAGTCAGACAAGCGATTGTCCAGTCTCTTCTTAAAAACCTCCAGTGATGAAGCAGCCATAATTTCTGAAGGCAAGCTGTTCCACTGGTTAATTGTTCTCACAGATAGGATTGTCACTTGTTAAATAGTCACCGTTAGATTGTCAGTCCAAAAGAGTGAAAGACGGAATAGCCATTCCTGAAAACGAGTCTATTCAGATAAGAGAAAATGCCTTGAAATAGCCCGATGATAAAAACAGGATTTCACACACTGCAAGGTTCTAGTCCAGTGATGGTGAACCTTTTAGAGATCAAGTCAGGTGCTGGGTGGGTGTGGCCCATTGGGTGGGTGTGGCTCATTGGGTGGGCGTGGCTGCGGTGGTAACAGCAGACTGTGGGACTAAAAAATTCAATCAATCAATTCCAACTTTGCAAGATCTTTTTTTTCCCGCGAGAAGTTGAAATTGACTGATTGAACCTTTTTTTTTTGTACACAGCAGCGGAGGCCTAAAGCAAAAAGGTTTTATAAAACCCAGCTGAATGCCTAGGACTGGGGCGGTGGCACGTGTGCCCACAGAGAAGGCTCTGAGTGCCGCCTCTGGCACTTGTGCCATAGGTTCGCCACCACTGCTCTAGTCACAATATTGTTTGATCACTAGGGTGGGAGAGGGCTCACCTCATGCCTAAATATGTACAGGGAGTCCTTGATTGACAATTGCAATTGGGACCAGAATTTCCATCACTGAGTGATGTGGTTGTAAAATGTGACCGCATAGCCTAGCAACAGCAATCCTTGCCCCAGTTGCCATCATTAACTGGATCCTAGGGTCAAACTACTTCCTGCCAGCTTCCCACAACCAAAGTCAATGGGGAATCTGGCAGGAAGGTAATTGAAAGACAAGTTCCAGGCTGGCAAGAAGGTAATTAAAAGGTTATTGCAGTGTGGGTTTAATGTTGTACACAATGCATGAGAAGAATGTTCACAAAAATTTACAAAATGAGGTATCCAAATATGAACGTTAGGATGTCATGACATCCCCATACAATATGGCAAAGAAACAGCAAAATTTGAACATTAGGAATTCCATTTATTTCCAAATAATATATAATAAGCTGTACATCCAAAGCTGACAAATGAATTGTTCCTTTTCACCATTACTGTGATATCAAGTGGAGATGTGCCTTATAAAATACAGTGCCAGTGGCAGGGAAACTGAACTGCAAGTATCCAGATTGCTTTGAATTGGACACAGCAGCTATAACTGCTGGGAATTTGGCTTCGGCATCCTCTTAAAGTCCTCTCTCCTCACTGCACTACACAAAGCAATGCAGAGGTGATAGTACTAATAATTGCACTAGGATCCTGTCACGGTGTGCTTCTGAGGATTTGATAAAAATATCTGGGGACAGAGCAGTAAAAGAAAAAAATCTCACTATTTTCGGATTGTGAGAATCAAGTTGATATTTTTAGTAGAATAAGATCCATGTATCTTACATGTTTTCAAGAATGAGAATGGATATTTCCTTTGGTGTCCCCCTTTCAAAGTTGCAATACAGAAAAATAAATTATTTCGAAAGAAAAGAAAACTCTGTTCACAGATTGTTGATTTAACTGTCTCAATTAAAATGCATCTCTCTTAGGTGATATCTGTGTTTGGAGAAACTCTGTCAAGATTCAGTTCCTTCCATACAGTTCCTTTCCCTTCTTTCCTAAAATGATCAATTAGTTCAAAGTGACATCCTCAGGTTGCAAACCTCACACAGCTCATCAACTCTAGTGGATCAATAATGCCCATTTGCTCTCAGTTTTACGGTGATTGAGGTAGCCTCATACCACAACCCCAGGAATGGGAAGATTTTGTAAGGGTACTAAATATTTCATGTAATTGAAAGATTATATCACTGTTTTAAGGTCTCTCTGGAATACCTGATGCATCCAGGGATGATATAATAATTGCTTTGCATTTACAATGCGAGGATTCTAGACATTCAATCAAAATTTATTAGGCTAGTGGCCTTCCATAAGATAACAGTGGATAACATCCCAAATTGAAGATGCTAAATTCTCAAGCAAGAGACATCTGGGTACTCTCCATCCAAAAACTAGCCTTTTCCTTTCAGGTACCTTTAATTCCCAAATGAATCCCCCCCCCCCGTTTATTTGTATTTATAAATACACTAGCTGTACCCGGCCACGCGTTGCTGTGGCTCAGTCTGGTTAAATGGAAAAGAAAGAAAAGAGAAAGCGCACGTTTGTAATATGTTTAATTTCACAATGCTTGTGGGTATACAATATTTTTTGTTGTTCCATTGTCTGTGCAGATATAGAGATTGTCTGGTTTGCCGACTCTAGAACACGCAACATATAATTGTCCA